GAGGAGGCAGCCGATCAATGATTCTCTCCCATCATTGATGTTTCTATCTCTCTCTCCTTCTCCCTTCCTCTCTGAAATCAATAAAGAAATATAAAGAAGAAAAAAAAAAAAGAATTTCAGGATCAAACTCAGTGGCCAAATCATGCATGTCAACACAAGCACCAGTATCCTGTAGGTAAATGTTTTTTATTCCTTGACTGCATATATAAATGATTGCTAATGATATCTTTGAATATGGTTGCGTTAAGAGAACATTATATTCAAATCCAGATTTACACAAGCCACGTTTCCTGTAGGGATTCACTTCCTCAACAAATTCCCATAGGAGCCCTTAAGCCAGCGGTTCTCAACCTGTGGGCCGCGACCCCTTTGGCGGTTGAACGACCCTTCCACAGGGGTCGCCTAAGACCATCCTGCATATCAGATATTTACATGACGATTGATCACAGTAGCAACATGACAGTGATGAAGTAGCAACGAAAATAATTTTATGGTTGGGTCACAACATGAGCAACTGTATTTAAAGGGCCAGAAGGTTGAGAACCACTGCCTTAAGCTATCAAGAAGAGCCAATCCCCTGTCATTAAACTCTAAGATGCAAAATCCCAAAAGGCAAGTAACCAGTGACAGGAGGTGGAAGCCCAGGTTACAGGGAGAGGCTAAGGTTGCCTCCACTCTTGGCCCTTCACCCACAGGACCCCCAGATTCACAGGGCAGCCCTCTCCTCTGTAAGAGCTTATACAACAAGTCAGAATGGCCCAGCAGGAAATTGGCAGCTCCGACCCCCCACCACAGTATACACACATACCAACCCAGAAGGCTGGTGCTTCCTTCCCCAGCTGTCTCTGCAGCTGTCCACGCCTTTTTAAAGAGAGCGCTCCAAAAATCTTCCAGGGAGACTTGAGTGACTCTAATAATCTCTGTGCACAGGAGGCACTTTTGATTGGAGGGATGAGATTTTTTCTTGATACCCCATGTTATACAGAGCTGCTGCATAATAAAACAAAAAACAAACAAACAAAAGTCTCTGATGGGTTGGTAGGCAGACAGAAAGCCCCATTTCTTTAGTCCCTGACTTGTTGATGGAGAGGCTGGGTGGATGGGTCCTCCCTTTGGGGGAGATGGTGCCAGGAAGAGCTAAGTTTCCAATGTGGCTTGCCCTAATATACCCAGGCCACTTCCTTTCCCAGCAGGGTCATAGCGGACCTTCTCCTTCCACCCACTACTTCCTTCATGCAGAAGGACAAGGAGAAACTGGTGAGGTCATGGTTATTTTGAGTAACCTTTTAAAAAATGGAGTCTAGCCCTAACCAGTTTGGCTCAGTGGATAGAGCTTCAGCCTGCGGACTCAAGGGTCCCAAGGTTCGATTCCAGTCAAGGGCACGTACCTTGGTTGCAGGCACATCCCCAGTAGGGAGTGTGCAGGAGGCAGCTAATTGATGTTTCTCTAATCAATGTTTCTAACTCTCTCTCTCCCTTCCTCTCTGTAAAAAAAATCAATAAAATATATTTTTAAAATAAATAAAAATAAAAAATAAAAAATGGAGTCTACTTTGCTTCTGCTGGTAGACACCCTTAATTCGTACAGAAATGATTAGCCCGGGCTCAACTCTCATGACAGACTTTCTTAGCCCTGAGCATTTGGACATCAGATGGAAGCCACTTCTTGTTTTAATAATAACTACTAACATTTATCGTACACTCACCATTTGTCATCCATTGTGTCAACAGCTGTATTCATGTGTACTATCTTGTTTAATCTTCCAACGATATGATTTTTTTATTCCCACTTTACACACCAGAAAACGGAGGATAAAAAAAGAGTTAACTGATAGGCCCAAGATCACACAGCTAGTGTGTGGTTGATCTGTGATTCAAAGTCAAGTGGGTCTGGCTTCATCTCTATAATAAGGTGCCTCCTTTAGGCAGGCCAGCAGTCTATATACGAAGGAAAATACCAGACATGCCATTGTGATTGATGGAGTCCCAAAGACTTATGTGTTGGGAAAATTGGCAGCACAGTGGGCAGAGAAAATAGCATGTCAGAGTCCCACATTTGGAAAATTTAATTCCTTTGGCTTATGTCTTTATCTAGTCTGGGATCACCTGTCCTAAATATCTGAATTATTTTCATAAGAGACAGTGTTTCCTCCCCAGCACTACAGGGAAACCTCATTAAGCCTCGCCAGATCTACCCAGTTTATATTAACCCCACCCAGTCCTATTCCTTCCTAATGCATTCTTTTCACTCCAATTATTTCTCACTCAGTCTGTCCTCAAGACTATAAGCTCCCAGAAAGGAAGCCTGAGTGTTAGCCACCTCCCCACACCTAACCCCATTTCTAATCTGTGCTTGACAGTATCCTTCCTCTTTTATAATGCAAAGCTGGCCCAACCGTGGCCCAGCTTCCCTCAGAAGTCTGCTTTGACCAAGGCCATGCCTGGAATATTCCTTTTCTTCTCTGTGTTTCTAGAGAATGTAGAGGCTAGCAGTTATACCTTAACTTGTCTCTTTTCATGACACTTTTTTTTTCTTTCTTGCTGCAAATGATACTGAAAGCTCTCTGAGGACTAGGGCTATGACTTCCGATTTTTAATTTGATAAATCCTCTTTCAGCCTGGAGCAAGCACTGCCGGGCCACCCTCCTCACTGAGCTGAGTGAGGATAACCCCATCCTTAGAGTCTTGCTAGATGCATTTGTCGGGGAGGGTTGGGCCTTCTGGGTTTTAAGCCCTCCGTTCATTCATTTGACAATTTTTTGAGTGCTTATTTCATGTAAGATGCTGGGGGTGAAAAGGTAAGAAGGGCCGTGTCCCCCAAGGTGAGACAAACAGTATCTTCTTTCTTTTCTTTTCTTTTCTTTTTTTCTACAAACAGTATTTTCAAAAAGATAGAAATAATAGCAAGAGACCAGCTCTGGTCCTTCTTGCCCTCGATCAGCGGTTCTCAACCTGTGGATCGCGACCCCTTTTGGGGGTTGAACGACCCCTTTCACAGGGGGGTCACTTAAGACCATTGGAAAACACATATATAATTACATATTGTTTTTGTGATGAATCACTATGCTTTAATTATGTTCAATTTGTAACAATGAAATTGGGGGTCACCACAACATGAGGAACTGTATTAAAGGGTCGCGGCATTAGGAAGGTTGAGAACCACTGCCCTAGATGCGTATTAGGAGCTTCAGCTACTCAAAGCAAAGGCTGTTTATAGTGCAGCGTGACAGGAGGCAGCGAGGGAAGGGCCACATCAAGGTGCAGGAGGTAGAGGTCAAGGAGGTAGTCAGATTCCATTATCGAAGTCAAGTTCAGGGAGAAAGAGACTCCCTGATTATCGGCACCCCTGGTTTTCTCATCACACTCTTACACGGTTTGGTTACTTTCTAATCGACAGGGTTGTTTTCTCGCCAACCAAGGGTTTCTTAAATTTGAGAGATCCAGGCTTTCAAAGTCTCTCGCATCCTCCACCTTTACGGGAAAAGCACTTATTGAAACCATCTCAGCTGTCAGTTTCCCGAAGGACCTGCCCCCACGCCCCGCCCCTACTTGAGACCGCACGGCGGGGCCCCACGTCTAGTGCCA